TCCACCAGCAGCAGCAGCAGCAGCGACCCACTGTCCAACAAAATGACTTCCAGCGGAATGAACATGATGAGCAGGGTAAGCTTTCTCTGATCATTTTTATTGTTTTCATAATGTTACTGCAACTAAACGGGATAAACTGGATTTTGCCCTTGTGGCCTTTAAACACATTGGCACTTATGCTGCTTTTGTCAGGAATACTTTAAAGCTAGAGTCATCAACATTATTCCTCTTAAAAAAACAATGATACACCTCACATGCACTAACCGAAACCTTTTCCTCTCTCTCCTCAGATCACCTTCTACGAGGAGAGGAACTTCCAGGGTCGTTCCTATGAGTGCATGAGCGACTGCCCCGACATGTCCTCCTACCTGAGCAGGTGCCACTCCTGCAGGGTGGAGAGCGGTTGCTTCATGGTCTACGACCGCACCAACTACATGGGCAACCAGTACTTCATGAGGAGGGGCGAGTACGCCGACTACATGAGCATGATGGGCATGACTGACAACATCAGGTCCTGCCGCATGATCCCCATGGTACGTTCTCACACTGGATTAGATTTGCTGTAAATTACATCTCTAGATTGCAGTTATTTAAAACAGCAAGACTTCTAGACCTTATGCTGAAAATGTGAAATATTCTGACTTAAACCCACTCTTCTTCTGCACCACAGCACAGGGGATCCTACAGGATGAAGATCTACGAGAGGGAGAACTTCGGTGGTCAGATGCACGAGCTGATGGACGACTGTGACAGCGTCATGGACCGTTACCGCATGTCCAACTGCATGTCCTGCAACGTGATGGAGGGCCACTGGCTGATGTACGAGCAGCCCCACTACAGAGGCAGGATGATGTACATGAGGCCCGGCGAGTACAGGAACTTCATGAACATGGGCGGAAGTGGCATGAGGTTCATGAGCATGAGGCGCATCACCGACTCCTGCTATTAGACTCTCCTTGCACTGAATAAAACTGTCATAACCTAAACTGTTGGTGTCTTTAAATCATTTTTTATTCTGAGTTGCCATAGTCTTTCCTCACATTCACAGTTTGAACCCAATCAGAGCTGGTCAGACTGGCTGTAACTCACAGGGAATTCCCAAAGAGGAAGGTTTCAGACAATTCTTTATAATATTATTCACACACATTTTCACGATAAAAATCAACAACTTTATGATACTCAAGTCTCCAATCTTTTGGTAGATGCAATGCGCTAGATTGTTTGTCATTTACAGATTAGAGTAACTGAACACAAAAACCTGCACAATCTAATGTCGAAAATGGTGCTGAGTTATTTATTTTATCACTTTAACGGCAAAAAAATGCAATCTACCTCATAAATAACCTATACTTCATACCATATATTTGCACATTAGAAACCACAATTAAATATATATATAAAAATGTATCTTATAGTCTTCAAAGCACTTAATGATTTGGCCCCCCACTATATTTCTGACCGTCTCACTGACTATAGAGACTGTATAGTCCAGTCAGAGCTCTCAGGTCATTAGGAGCTGTTTTTTCTAACTGTATGTATAGATGAAGGATTAGGTGAAGGTGGTTTTGAGCTTTTGCTCTGTCTCAACCGTATCCATATTCAAGTGACTGTCAGTGTTGTTTGCTCATGTATTTTATACATTGTTATTTCATGCCCGTTGTTACTTTATGCATTATGCATGTAAAGCACATCTCCCTGTAATGAAACATGCTATATAAATGAGCTAAAAATGGGCTGGGCCTAAAGAGAATCAGAGGGAAATAATATACTTTATCACAACAGGCGTTGAGGCAAAATATTAATAGGATAAGAGGATAAGTTGTATTCACAAAATACATAATTCAATTCAATACAAGATTACAAACTATGGTAATACCTCTGTGGGGCTTTTCACAAAGATGGTTTGAGACACACGTACACACAATGAGGTTGTATGTGAGCAGTAAGTGCTTGTACACAGTGAACATGCAGCAATAAGAAGGACTGTACATTTAGTAGGGAGTGTTAGAAGTGTGAAGGTAGATAGCCATGTGCAATGGGGCTGTTCACCATCTGTAAAGCCTTTTGACTTGCAGCTGAGAAGTAGTGATACATCCAGTTGGAACTGCTGCTTTTTAGTTCTAAAATAAGGTTTGTGTCTGGCTGAAATCATCGCACTGAACCAAAGGAAATTTAGTCTAATTCTGAGAGGAATTCAAACCGTTGTGTCTACAGTCTCACATAGTAAACTTGGACTTTGTCACATAAATACTGGAATAGTTAAGATTCTCTGATTATATCAAAGCTGCTCCAATTTGGCTTCTGTCTCGTTCAGAGTTGTTATGTGATGTAAATATTGTCTTTGGAGTGTCTGGTTTTGTTTTTGTTCAACTGCGTGTTTCCTTCAGTCCTGTTTTCATTAGGAACATAATAACAGAGCAGCGACAGGTAAATACAGTCTGGTCGTTTTTTCACTGAAATGACATATGACTCACACATGGTAAAAATATGCAAATGTAAAAGAACTGTTGAGGTAAGATTTACGATAATGTGTTTTTCAAATTAACTTTTAGCCTTTGTAGCACTGTAGGACTCAACCAACTATTGGATGGATTGCCATGAAACCTTATATAGACATTCATGGTGCCCAGAGAATGAATCCTACTGACTTTGGTGACTTCTCCTCTTGTTGTGGTGTTCACAACACAAAACATTCCCATTTATGGTTCTGAGTAAAGGGAGGGCTGCACTGGCCAAAAAAATTAATAAATAAATGACTCAATAAATTAATTCATATGCCATTAAATGCACCAAAGATAAAATTACTCACATTTTACAATTATTTTTAATAATAGTTTTGGTGCATTTAATGGCATATTAAATTATTGAGTCATTTATTTATTTATTTAAAAGAGCCAGATATTTCCTAGAGTTGGTAGAGGCCAAAAACAGAGCTAAAAGTTGAGTGAATATTAGACATACTCAATGTGATAATATTGCTCCGTAACAGCTGGAAGTTCGCCATATGAAATAAAAAGGTGATCATAAGTCAACATTGTGTTAACAACTTGTCTACACAAGTGGCCAAAAAAACCCCAGCAAGTTCAAGTTTAAATAAAATAAAAGAATAAATAAATGATACAAAATATATATGTTGTAAATCACTGCCTATCTCCAACACAATAGGTACACATATAGTTTTTGTTACATGACTCAAATGAGGATTAGAGAAGCACATATCTTTCTATCTTTCTTTCTCACTCTTTCTTTCTCTTTCCTCTCTCTTCTTCCTCCAGAGAACAGCCAATCCGGAGAGTGAGTGTGGAATCGATGCCCTGATACGAGATTCAGCCTAATGAGGATCAGAAACATCTTAATAAAGACCCATAATCCACCACTTAATCCCTCATTACAGAATCATCTGCATTCAGTGGTCCTGCTCCATACCGCCACAGTGACGGCACATTCGGGTCCATTGTTCTACTTCGCCTCATCTCTCACCCAGGGCTACTTCTCCTTTTGTCTCCCCTCGGTGTCAGTTATATTTGATCTGCTCTCATTAGACTTTCAGAGGAGATGAGCAGAAAAGCCTGAAAATAGTGCTTTTGTGTGCACTTCTATGCTATCTCCTGTCTGAAATGGAAAATGAGACATATGCCTAATGAGGAGGAGATGGACTGGGACTTGCCGTCCGACAGAGAGATAGGGAGAGTATTGTGTGGAGAAAGTGCTGTGACCGATGCTGTTAATGGACACACTTTCCAGGCAACGTCTCTGTCAGTAATTATGACTTCTGAGAGTGTTAAGATTACAGATGGATTAAAGTTTAATGCTGAGCCCCGGAGAGTCTGTGTTTTAGTTTAGTGCAGCATTAACAGAAAAGTTAGGGAAGTTTAGCCCAAGTTAAGTTTTCTGAAAGAATCCTGACAGTATATTTTTGATGGTCCAACCTTATTGTCATTAAGCTATGCCTTCTGAACTACCATCACAACAATAAAGCTTGACAGGTGTTTTTAATTAAACTGGCTAATTACACCTCCACTTAGGCTATAGTAGAGATATTGCCAAATTCTATGAACTGAGAACAATAATAATAGTGTAAGGGCCTGACAAAGCTAACAGGAGAGTGAGGGAGCTTTCAATCAAAAGTAGGTTACAGTCTGCACGACCACACGGTCTTGAGATCTAATCAGGCAACATAAGTGAAAACACCTGCGTGGCTGGACTACGTTTGTAACTTGCTCTAACAACTCAGACATTAAGGTACTTGCACCGTGTGGCTGAACCAGCAAAACAATGAATATTGTCTGAGTGTCTGCAGAATACAATATAAAACATTGTACTTACAGCTTAATTAAGCAATCATTTTGATAATTTTGATGTTGAATGAAATGACTCCCTGTAGTGGTAAAGGTTTACTAGTCCTGCTGATCCCACTGAGAATCAACAGCTCAGTCAGGTCTCTTTCAGGTAACCATTGCTGTTCACTTTAATCCCTCCAGCTCTCATCTAGACGTCATAAAAATCTTTGGGTAGCCGCATTCAGCATGTTTTAGACAAACTGATTAGACACAAGCTGTACAAGAGAAACTGCTGGTGCCATGATTGTTGTTGTTTTATATGTTTTTTGGTTGTGTGTATTTGACAATCATGTTTTCTTGTGCTCACATCCTTCTTTAAAAATAGAAGCTAATGAAAATTGGGACTAACTAACAGAAAGCAAAAGACTTGTCACTTTGTTTGACTGCAACATCATTTTTGAGAAATGCATTGCAGAAATATTAGCACCTAATGACAGTAAATCAGTAAAATGTTTCAAAAATAAGTAAGCACATTTGGCACCAGAATGCAAAGTACAGTTGGTGTTTGCTCATAACCTCTAATTTCTTGAGCTTTTACCTTAGGTCCATATCAATCAGCATGCTGATATAAGTCTTCTGGCTGGGAATAGTTAAAATCAAAATGCCAAGTAAAATTAGCCCCATCCAGACAAACTCCAATTTAGATTAACAAAGGATGTTAATATAGAATTATGTGTTGAGAGAAGAGAAATCTCTTTTCCTTTAGGTGAAGCTGTGCGATGATCCTCGTGAGGGTTGGATAATTAGCCCCATGTAGGTGTGGAGAGGGCTGATTCTTAACCCGCACTACCCCTCCCTCTTCATTACTCTGTGTACTGAGGTGAGTAGAAGGTGGAGGGGGATAAAACAAAACAAATAAAACTCATTAAAGGTACCCATGTGGCTAAAAATCCCCCCTCTGCAGTATGTTAAAGCACCACAGACATCATTAGCTCCGGTCAAAGGAGCTATCGTTATTCTGCCTGGATATGAACGCAGATCAAAGCCTGCTATAGCTCATTGTCTTTTAACCTGAGGCAGGATTCTCAAAATCAGAGCTCCCTTTTTGGCAGGTTTCCATTTTTTCCTCCCTGATCTCAGCCAATGGAGACCCAGAAAATCACTCTACATAGCAAGAGCAAATCTTGAGATGAAAAAATCTCTTTTCTTCAATGATGCACCCATGGCATATTTTGTTGTGAAGAATGGTTAATTTTTGATGCTTCAAAATAGATGAGGGTTCTTTTGTAGTTCTATAAAACAAGTCAGTTAAATTTGTAAAAGTTGTGTACAATGACAACTTCAGCCTCAAGAGAACCTGTTTTTTCCCACGTTTTTTTTAGCCACACTATTGGTATGACAGACTGATATAACAGACTGATATACAGACTGATATAACTCAACAACTATGATGGATTGCCATGAAATTTGGTTAATCCCAGAGGATGGATCCTATTCTATGAACTGCACTAATATGTATGAAAGGTGCTATAGAAATAGTTTGATTGATTGATTATAGTTTCTGGATTTTCCCCAAGCGCCATTATCAGGTCACAATTATATTTTTATTATGCTCCAATACATTTTATGTTTAGTACTAATAAATGTTAACATGCTAACACAGTAAACA